GGCTGGTACTGGGTTTGGCTACAAATAAATGAACCTTAAATGATATGCTGGCGGGAAATCTGCATAGTGGGGAGAAAGAAAAAAATACTTCCTTTTTCTTCTGCCTTAAGACATACTCAGTCAAAAGCCCCCAAATAAAAAACCTTCAGCAATTTGGTGGGGAAAAATAAATTTAGGGAGATGTCAGCATTTTGTGGAAGGTGAGGAATTGGCAGCTACCAAGCTGTAAACTTTCCTGAGTGTATGAGTGGTTACACCAACTAATGACAGCCATAGAGGTTTTTTCTAATTAAATCATGGACGTCTACATTGGCAAATAGTTAAGACTAAACGAGGCACAATTCTGGCCCATAGCAGCAAATACAGATCAGGAATTAGCATGGACATGGGGCCATTCACAACAGGCACACTGGATTCAGCAACCCTGTGGTGAACAAAAGCGCAGAGTATTTGAACTTGGCCCATCTTGCACCATCTGCCCTCAGTACCAGAGACCAGTCCTGGGCAAGTTCAATTTACTGGTTACAGATTTAACCTGCGTTCTTATTTTTAATCTAGTCAAATGTAAAATATCATCATCCTTTGTCAACAGGATGGATGATTTATTTGATACAGAGCTGCTTTTACTACTGCCAGTCTGGCACAGCTCTCTCCACACCCCCCACTAAAGCGTAGACTACCCAAGCCTTTCTTGTAAATCTATTCCTTACCACTCCTCTCCCTCCTTTACTGGTCAAATTTCCCTTAATGACCTCCTGGTTTTGCAATCTTTGGAAGATTTTTCAGTCTGTGGTCAGACAGATACGCCAATGTGTGATCGAGCATGGTGCTTACATGTACAAAATGAAAGGGTCTTGTAGCTTTGTTCAGAATAGCGAGGGAGAGCAAATGCTCTAGACCAAAGGACACCAATGATTATGTCAATGCTGAACCACATTAAGTACAACGGATACCTTACAGAGAAGACTTGGGGTGTTTTTCAGAGTATTCAGATTGCTGGCCTAAAATAAAACTGTATGAAGCAGCAGTTACAGACCAAACGTGGGGACATAGCGGTAAACTTCCTTTAAAAAAATTAAAAACATGGAAATAGGCACATCAAGAGGTAGAAGACTTCTGCTGAAGGAGTTTGTGTACTCTGTATGCAAAACCAGACAAAACACCATTTCTCATAAAACACATAGATGTTTTCTTCTCTTAAAGTGAATGGGTGTGACAGACATCCCTGGAATTAGATGGGCCCATAAAACTACTTAATTACTTGACCCACTTGCTTACAGTTGCAACAAGACCTGTATTTGTGAGTTCATACTACGCCTGGCAATTAGAATTATTCTATTATTTACAGTAACAGCTGTATGATGTATCATGAAAGTTCCCGGCTGCAATGCACTGCACAAAGTCTTAGCAAAGCAATTCCACCTCCAGACAATTCACAACTGAAACTAAGAGGAAAAATACAACAAATAAAGAAATAACTAGTGGAAAAGCACATAAAATTGTTAGCAGCAAGAGGGGGATATTGGTGTTGTGTTCCTTTGAAAACCTGCTCCTATGGAAATTACTAATAAAACTGTCTTGAGCTGACTTCTGCCTGTGGAGTGAGGCAGAAAGGTGCGACAACTCCCTTTCTTTCCCTAGCTGAAGAGTCACATCTCTTGTCACTGTTCTCTGTGAAACATGTTCAACTTTCTAACTAGCAGGCCACTTATTTTGAACTGGCCCAACTCCTCAGCAAGACAGACTAACCCTTCTATGTCTTCTCCTCTCAAAGAATTCAGAGCTTCCACATGTAGGATTTTACTTCCTGCAAAGAAGTTCACTGCAGCCATATAGATTTTGTTTCTTAAAAAGTTCTTACTTTGGATCTGCCTTACCATCTGGTTTACCCTCAGAAATGATCAAACTCAGTACTTATCCCTAGAGATACGCTCAGGAAGAACAGAGTACTGATCTAAGAAGCTTAATGAGTCTCAAAACTTGATTCAAAGAACACGGCTAAAGACACCTAGAGGGTTTGTAGCACAGAAGTCATCCCTTCCTGTCCAAGCCACTTTTATCAACAAATACAAAATACACAGCACATGCTTTCAGGTTTATCATGGGTGCTTTATGCTATCTCAGGATAGCAGCCGATAGGAAGAAACTCTCACCTCAGCAACACTGAGAACACCTTGTGGCTACAGGTCTAGTCACCCATGCCTTGCTTCTCTCCAGAGAAGAGGTTCAGGGTGAACGGCCTCAGCGTGTTCCTGCAGTATCTCGTGCTGACACCAGCACACAACAATGTGGTTTTGGTATGACCCTCCTCTAGACCTAACAGTCGAGAGCACCACCCCCTCAAAAGCAGCAAATCGCAGCCTCTGTTATTCCTTCCAACTTGTGACCAGCCTGTTGGCACCTCCCAACTTGGTCCTTCCTTCTTTAGCCTCAGCGGCAGAACATTTTAACTAGTTTTACTTGGATTATAGGCGTGCTGATGCTCTTGGGTCTTCCACTTTCCGCCAGCTCCTCAAACTCATCGAGGATCTTCTCTTGCTGCAATATGCATTGTGGTATGCAACAATAATTAGTCAGGATAAGCTGTACAGGTTCAATGGAAACCCGAACGGGCCTGAATGGATGTAAAATATCAACACTTGACGCATGAAACTCACTCTCTGACGCTCCCCCTCCTGCGTACCACTACTGTTTAGCGAGATTTGAACATTTGTGAAAAGCACAGCCAGAAACCAGATCAGCTCCTCTAAATTCATGAATAATGAAAAAGATGTATTCAGTTGCCCTGCAGGTTATCCCACAGAAGGATTATTCAAGTGAGCTCCTCTGTAAGCAGAAAATCCCTACAGCAAGGCCTTTCATGTGATTCAGTTAGATGTGCACCCAACTTAAATGAGAATTTACTCTTGCATAACATTAAATACAGTCAGCTGAATAAGCAGGCTCTTTCTCACCACGTCTTACCCTACATCAGTATCCGTTTGGTGATCTTGAGTAAGAGATTATAATCTTGCTTCTGAGCAGTAAGTAGGTAAACTCTTTTTGTCCACAGAAAAAATAGCTAAATGGAAGTTAGTGAGCTTACTAGTACTGTGAGCATTACTGTGGAGGGGAACTTACACAGACCACTGACCTCCTTGCTAAAAGCTGGAGCTAGCAGGTGAGGAGAGGAAGAACACAGCACAAAATGAGAATAACGAATTCAAAATATTAAGAGCATGCCATTGGAGAGATCAGAACTTTGGTACGTGCTTTCCAAGTTCTGGGGTTTCTCTGTTATTTGGTACTTCCTATGTGGCACAAACAGAAAAATGGTTTTACAGGTTCAAGCAGCTGCTCTGAGTTTCTGAAGGCAGGGGCTGCTTTCTCAGCTACTTTCATCAGAAGTAACCAACCAGGCTGGGAAAGAAAGCTCCTTTCAACTTCCAGCACTTCACCTTTAGGCAAGGACGCCTGTCTGCAAGCATGAGGGTGGATTTAAAGAGGAGCACCTCTCCTGCTCGCTCATTGCCTCTCCTCACATTTCTAAGTGCTCTGGAAAAAAACCTCTAGAGCGGTGTGCTGGATGTAGGGGGCAAGGTATTGGCAGTGGGGGGCTGCAGGGTGGCCTCTGTGTGAAGAGGTCGGGACTGCCCCATGCCAGACACAACTGCTTCTAGCCAGCTCCAATGGACCCGCTGCAGGACACAGCAGAGCGCCTCAGCCAACACGGTGGTACCTCGGAGAAAATGTATTTAAGAAAGCGCAAAACACCACATAGGCAGAGGAGGAGCAGTGGAGGGAAGGAGAAGTGAGAAACAGCAGTACAAACACCCAGGTCAGTGAAGAACGGAGGGGGAAGAGGTGCTCCAGGCACCAGAGCAGAGATTCCCCTGCAGCCCGTGGAAAGCACCCCACTGGAGCACGTGGATATTTCCTGAAGGACCTATGCCTCCTGGAGAGCCCACGCAGGAGCAGGTTTATCCTGAAGGACTGCAGCCCATAGGAAGGGCCCACGCTGGAGCATGGGAACAGCGTGAGGAGGAGCGAGCAGCAGAGAGGAGCTGTTATGGACTGACCACAACCCTCATTCCTCATCCACCTGCACCGCCTGGGGCAGGGGAGAAGGTAGAAGAGTTGGGAATGAAGTGGTGAAGTTGAGCCTGGGAAAAAGGGCAGGTGAGGTAGGGGGAAGTTGTTTTAGTTTTTGTCTTTGTTTCTCACCACCCTACTCAATTTCTGATTAGCAATAAATTTAATTTTCCCCAATTCTAGTCTGTTTTGCTACGTGACAGTAGTTGGTAAGTGATCTCCCTGTCTTTATCTCGAACTACGAGCTCTTCCATCTTATTTTCTCACCCTGTCCTGTTGAGGAGGGGGAGCGAGAGAGCAGCTGGGTGGGCATCTAGCAGCAGGCCAAGCTCAACCCACCACAAGCTGTTGCATACATCTGTTTAAAAGAAACTTAAAATCCACTGGTTCACATTAAGCATTTGTCAGAACAGAATTTCAGACCAGCATCTGCCTAAAACTTGTAGACAAGGTTTTTCTATTGGAGTTTTTGCGAGAATGATTTTGTACTTTACCACTTTTCCCTATCACTATATCCAAAGTCCGACACAGGTAAGGATTTCCAACACTCATTTACTATCTATACATTATTTGCAGAATTACAGAGAAGAATAATTTTTATATGGAAAAATATAATATTAAAAATCTTACATACAAGGATGAAACATAGCAACAAAAGGCTGCTCACAGAATTAACATCCAGTCTTTCTGTCACCAGTTAACATGAAAACTCACACTAAAGGAGTTTCAACAATGATATTAACATAATCTTTTTCTTTTTTTTTTCCCCTTTTTTCTTTTTTTTTTTTTTTTTTTTTTTTTAACCCCCCATAAAGGAGACACACATTAAAAATAGCAATGTCTAAAACAACATTATTTAATTCTTAGTCAGGCACCTGAAGATTTGGCTTTGAGCATCTTCTGAAATCAGCAGTCATCAGAACCCAGTTTCATGGAGGCACCAGTGACGGAGTTTCTGAAAGCGTCCTCCGAGCTGCAATCCGCAGACATTTGGGGCAGCCTCCAGACTTGAAGCATGATTTGTGAAAGCATGTTTTGCACTCTGTTTATCCATACACGCACGGTTTAACATTCAGGAAGAAACAAATTAGAAAAATGAATCAATAGCTGTGTTCCTTGAGGGATGTTCTATCTAGTTCACCCAAGTATAAAAGTAAATAGAAGCAGTGCTAGGCCATGACAACAACCACTGTAATAACTATGACTAAACATTTTGGTAAGATTTGCAGGATTTACCATGAATGTCGGCAAGATCTCATATAGCAGCAGCATAGCACTTTCCCAGGATGGATCTCATGTGCAGACCCAAAAAGCAGCCTCCCCCACCGCAGCCATAATTATGCTCAGGCAAGTCCCTGGGTTTTGCTCTCTGAATTCACTGATGTAAGACAGCTACCACAGGCTGGTTTTCAAAGATATATGCTGTCCGTGGTTTTCAAATACACATGCAGGTTTTCAAATACACATGCAGGTTTTCAAATACACATGCTTTCAGTGAAGCAAGTTCTCAATGTTTTCCTAAAGTCTGAACAATTTTACACACCAACATCCCCCCCAAGGAAGAAAGAAAAATGTTTGGTCTGGAACATACCTGTACACCTTTTGCACTTGGCAATCTGATATGGAAAGAGCAGATCTGCGCTCTGACAGAATTCACAGATAAACCCCTTCGCTTGACAGAGCTACAAAACAGCAAAACAGTTGATTTAATCTAAGAAAAACTTATTTGGGAATGTCAGCAGGGATATTCCTCACACTAGCAGCCACAAGGACACTAAGAGCCCTGGCTTTTCCTTACCTCGCAGCCATCCACATGGGAGGTAGAGCTCTTCAGAATATCTTTAAGAAGGGGCAATAACTGCCCTCGTTTGATCTTCACCAGATCATCCAGTGAGAAGAGATGCAGCTCCTCTGTCAGATGGCTGGGAACCTGTTCAAATTCTTTCAGTACACTGCAAAGAGAAACAAAAACCAAATCAAGTTACAAAAAAGTTGTTTTTCAAATATATTTGAAGAATAAACCTCTTTCACTTCTCTAGTCACCCAGGGATCATATAAGGCAAGTCTATGCTAAATCTTACCTCCCCTCCCAATCTGAGATCACATTAACAAAAACTGGAGGATTTGGTATTTAGAATAAAAAGTCTGCTTTCAATGTGCATTCCTCAGGCATTGGAGTTGCCATGTGCAGTTATCCCAGCAATTCTTAAATAATGTGTAAAGGGCTCTCTCCTACCTCAGGAACACTAGGTAAAATCCCATACAGCATCTAATGCAATAAGCTAGGGTTATTTTTTTTTTTTTAATTTTTTTTTTTTTTTTGCAAAGAGAACTTTGAGGGTTTTTATCCCTCATAGGTCACTGTTGGGTGAAACTATGCTTGTACTGAGTGGGTGAACACTGAAAATATAGCTATTACTTTTAAACTATGACCAATATAGGAGGCACAGTGAGGATCCTAATGCTTCTTTCTATAATGGAATCACAGGTGGTTGTTCAGAAGAGCGACATTAAAATACATTTCTATTTAATTTTGGTGAACAACAATTAATGCATAAAAGAGGTCCCTGCCAAAGAGAGAACAGCATCTACTTTCAAAGCTTATTGTGCTTATGTTCGTTTTTTTAAAAGGTCAGCAATTCTGCAGTGAAGGTTTTATCATTCACGCATCTACCTATTAGTTATGCACATAGTTTGGGAAGTTGAATACCATAAATCTTTAATCTGAAGCAACAAGCAATGTCATGTTTTGGTATTTATCACTTTTGGTTACTACTTTCATCTCAATATGTTTATAAAATAAACTGAATTGAGCAGTATGACAGATTTCTGGAAGAAATCTTTAAATCCTCAAGGAACACATTTGTTAATTATTTTTTTTTAAAGACAAATCATGTCAGAGATACAAATAAGTATCTTTGACCTTTTAAGACTGAGTGAGAACCTAAAAGAGACAGAGTAGGAAAAACTATACACCTAACAAAAATCATTCAACATTTAAACCCGAATGTCTAAGTATGTTACAAGAAACAGAAAGCTATCACATAAAACCTGTTCTTCACTCAAGATTTGCAGTGCAATAGAAGGAAGTTTATTTATCAGCATTTTCTCTAATGATCATATTAACTCTCATTTAAAAGTGCACTTAAATGCCTCTGGAGAAGGCAGCTCTATAAGCACCTTAGGTACATTTTAATAAACTATTTTTCATGCACAGTCATGGTCCATACCTTTCACCAAACCTGCAGGTTTTCAAAAGCTTTTTTAAATGAAAGAGCTGTTCTTGCACCTCCTAAAAGATGAAGGGGAAAAACAAAACAATTTTTAAATGAAAAGCAATCGCATTTATATATTCATAAGTGAGGAACACCACTATTTGAGTCAGCAACCCTTGTTGGCATATCAAGCCACACCTAAAAATAGGAACTTCGCACTCAGCACAGAATTAAACAAATGGATTTTCCAATGCACAAAAGGCCAAGGAAGGCAAAGGCTACTTTATTCACTGACAAGGGAAGCAATTCCTAACACTACAAATGGCTCAATGTCAGCACAGCAAGATGCTAGACCCAAACCCATGTAAGAACAGGTAAGTGCACCCTTCCTTAAGCTGTAGGAGGTACAGACCTTAGATGAGCCAGGGGTGTTTTCTCTAATGGCCCACAAAATTAAGGAGCCATTAAAAACTTCCGGAGTTTTCCAACAGCCAATTGCCAAGCAGAAGTAAATATTTACTGCAAGAGCCCAGCTTCCCGCCATGAACTAAAACTGGAAATCAATAAGGAAACGCCTTCCAAAGACAAGGGGGGAAATGAGACCTCTGGCATAGGTTGGAATCTTCTCCCTCCTCCCTCTTCATGTGAGAGCAGAGAGAGCAAGTCCCAGAAGCGGTGATGGGACACATCCAAGTGCGGAGAAACCAACTCTGCCTCCTTCCCACATACACACATGGCAAAGGACAACCTGCCCTAAGGAGTTTTCCGAGAAGTCTCAGACCCACAAATTCCCAATAAAAAAAAGGCCACACTTACCCTCACCCTGTCCATTTCTTTACTTTTTGTGTAGAGGGCTTTGTTAATACATGACACATTGAAAATTGGGTGCTGCCATATGCTGTCCAGTAGGTGTTTGGAGAAGTTGCATACATAGTATTTTTTGAAGTCCCACTTCAAAAGTATTCGAGCAGGAATGGAAGACTGGGCATAGCTGTGGCAGCAGTCACAAAAGTATTTCCCCAGGTAGTCACAATAGCGGAGTCTCCTGATATATTCTGCAGGTAGAGAGCAATGAAATTGTGACTATTTATAATACTTATGGGATGTACCTCTTGTCTGTATGCCTATTCTGTCTAAATAACTCAGATCTGCTGGAGTAAGGGACAAGGGATTTATTTTTTTTTTTAAGCAAGGGGTTTTATTATTGTGGTAAACACATGCACGAGGTCTGTACTTTGCATTAGAAGAGAAACCTTCCCTCATTTTCACCTTTGTCAAACTGAACTGATTATATTTATCACCATGAGATCTTAAGAGAAACCATAGTTGGCTTTACCCACAAAAAAGAGACACAAGATAAAACACACAACAAAATACTTCCACCAAATGGAACAAGCTGATCTTGAAGTCACACTTCTATAATACTTTTTCATATAAAGAGGTTTGTGGGTTTTTCTCAGCTATCTCACCATCTCAGGTTTGCTCAAGTTAATGTGCCATCACAGATTGTTGATACTTTACAGGCCATCACAAACGCTGCTCTTTTGTGAGCAGACCCAGAACAAGTCTCGAAAGCCACTTTAAAGATTTCTTAGGTGAGGTCTGGTTGTCAGACCTGTAAATCATCATGCTTTCAAGCAGTTCTCACAAAATATCACAAATAAAACACAAGCAAGATTTTGTGATCAAGATTTAAAGAAAAAAAAAGTTTTAAACCACACATTCCATAAGCTTGCATAAAGCTTCCATAAAGTCTCTAAAAAGAGACTTTTGGAAATGTGTAAATTGGCACAGACTAAAAATTATTGAATGAAAGAAAACATTGGAATATGTAAAACCAGCACTTTCCAGCCTGGAAGCTTGATTTTTTTTTTTAATAGCTTTTCCTGTTTTGTTGTTGACTGTCATGAATTTTTACTGTATATGAGAAGGCACCTATCAAGTGTCATATTCTGTCCGCAATGAGAAATTCCAGGCAGTGGTAAGATCCCACTGCCTGATTTATTATTGCAGGTACATCCAACAATGAGATTTTCCTTCTAGCTCAGATAATTTGACAATTGTAGTACATCTATGTTGGTGAGGATTATAGCCAGATTACTAGTAATGGATTTATTAGGTTTTTTACCTTTTGGCAATACTTACTGCTTTCTATCGGGGTTCCACAACCAACACAAGTAAAGTTTTGGGCAGCCACCACTGCATCTCTCCTGCATACAGAGGCAAACAGTTACACATTTCAGCATCCAAAACATAGTTTAATTAACATTCTCCCAAAGTGCAAGAGAGCTACACTAGCATCAGCAAAAATGTCCAGATTAGGAGCTGACTCCTACTCCTCCACATGAAGAAAGGGATTCTGGAAGGAGATGCAGATTGTCATTTTAGTGGGAGTCTCTAAGCTATTCTGTGGAGAACACACCATCGACTACTGCTTCTAAATATGGCTTCTTGCAAGAATTAAATTCTTTTCAATTTCCTAAGGTGGCACCAATATCAAGGGGGAGAGGGGAAATACACATCTGCAACTGAAAAAGCAACTGGACCTGCAGCAACACAGGGAATTGGCCAGTTTGCCTACTGCGTGCATGTAACAGCACTTTATGTAGAGTGAGACAGTAGTTTCCCCAAACACGAGCTGTTTTCTCTCCCCTTTCTGAAAACCTACTACCCATAAAATATCAGCAGGGATGTGGGGAAACTCTTAGGAATATTCTCCAGGTAGTCTCGCAAAATGAAATTTTCAGGAGTCCAGCTAAGCACACTGCCACCTTAACACCAAACAGTATGTGTATTATCATCTGTAAAAGGGCACGTGCCATATTAATCAGGACGTGCCAACAGAGGGAAAAAGATGCCATCTGCTTTCTAGCGAAGCTGGTGACAGACACTGCAGAAGGCTGTGTCATGCATTAGCTCTAAGCTTAGGTTCTGTTAAATCGCCCAGGCTCCTTCCATCAACTTCAGCAGGTTTTAGACAAATCCCCATGCTGTACTAAATGACAATGCTCAGATCCCTTAGACTTACTTGACTGAAGGGTGAATATTAAATATAATCTGCGATCTTGGTGGGGCCCAGCCAGAACATCCTCTTAATTTGGATATGAACTTTATTTCTTCAGCCAGATTCAAACTGGACTCAAGCTCTCTTGGAATCTCTTCTTTCAGCACCAACTATTGGGAAAGACAAACTTGTGAGGATGAACAGCCCATCAGCTGGACATGTGTTAAATGCTATGAAACATCTCCCTTTACACTCCAGGATTTTAAAGTTCAGTTTTCACCTGCATGTAGTCCCCCTCAGTTAAACTCCCTCATCTCAATCCCAGAAGAAAGTACATCCCAACTGTTCACAACTGCACATCTTAAATGTGCTGAAAATAGCTAAAGAGAAAAAAATTTCTAAAAACGTATCTAAAGTGAACTAATAAACTGTAAGTACTTGTCTGTATTTATTTTCTCTCTCTTTTTTAATGCAGCTTCCCCCCTTCCCCAACAGTGAAGCAGCTGCAGTGAGACAATGATTATTTGGGGAACCAAATAAAGAGCCCGCTGTTTTCGGCTCAGACTCACTCTCTGCTTAGATGAGCTCAGGCAACCAGACAGTTGAACTGCAGAGTCTGTCTGCAGCCAGTGTTTTCTGAAAGCTCTGCATAACTCCTGGGCTGTTGCTTCAGCAGAATTGCTGCCTGGTTCAGAAGATGATCTGAAAGTTAAGCAATACAGACAGTGAAAAATAGCAGCATGTCAGCAGCAGCTCTGCTGCCTCTTCTGCATCCCTGAAAACTTCTCTCCCATCCCTTCATTCCTATCCCCTTGCTTTGATACACCCAGGCCCTTGCAGAGCCACAGCAACCACCCTCCAGCAAGACTCCAGGACCAGAGAAATGCTCTGCTAAGCCAAGCGCCACAGACATTTGCTGTCAAGCAACATTCCTTCCCCTTCCTTGGGAGGGCCAAATTTACCACTCCCACATAGTTCCCGCCCCAGCCAGCCAAGTCACCAGAAAGCTGGTCCAGCAGAAAAGGTAGTGCCACCGGGCTATTATAGTAAAAATACATAGCAATACCTTTCATCTGGGGAGACAGACAGATTTTCAAGGTCTTCAAGTTCTGTGGTAAAGGAGAAAATTTTATCAAGCCATCTAAGAAGCAAAGCTTAAGTTACTCAGCACTGGTTTAAATCTACCCTCTATGTTACCACGGTGTCAATTTCAAGTATATTCATCTTTACAACATCCTTGCTGGATGTGGGAAACAACCTCAGCCCTGGTTGTAAACAGGCATAAGGAGCCTTATCTCTTCTGCAGATCTCTTGTATCTGCTGAGGAAGAGTACTCCTAACAGCAATGCATCCTATCATCACCATCAGCCTCCCTTCAAGAGCAGGGTAATCCGTAAGGAGAGACTAAGTGCCTGCTAGTCCAGGTCCAACCAGAAGGGACTAGACATTAATAATATACAGAACCGATAGAGCGCACATTAATTTTTTTTTCAGACACTGACAGATATTTGGAGACACTGATCACAAACATGCCAGCTAATGCTATAAAAGTGTTAGTAACAGGTGACATGAATGGAATTAAAGCACACACTTCTTCATTACATTTATGTAGACAAAATATGTTCACATTGGTAGCATTAGTTTTGGACATACATATCGTTCTCAAGACAAACGCTTCCCCATTCATACATATCAAAATAACTCTTGCTACTAGAAATGCAGTTTGGGGAGCTAGTTCTTCATTCTTAGATTAGGGAAAGCAGGTAAAAAAACCTGTGAATCTCTAAAACCAAAGGGAGCAGTAAAAAAAAAAGCATTTGTTATCAGGAAAAAATAAGATAAAGATTAAATGTTGCTCAGGCTACTTTTAAGAGTTTCTATTTCTGTGTGTGTAAAAAACAGAAGCTAACCAAAGAAACTCAGGAAGTCCTGAAAAGAAGCAGCCCACTGGTGGCTATAAGGGGACACATTCTGCTCTAGTCCTGAAGCAGAGCGAGGGCTGCCTAAAACCAAATTAACCTCTTTAATTAGAAAATTATCAAGTCCTAAATTCTCTCAAACAATGCTGCTGTGGTTGGCTGAGGTTGTGCCAGCTTCACACTTTGCTCACCCACATTCATTGGGTTTAATCCTTAGACATAATTTCAGTCCCTGTATTGTGTTTGTGTGGCAAGGTTTTGGTAGCGAGGCGGTTACAGGGGTGGCTTCTGTGAGAAGCTGCCAGAAGTTTCCCCCATGACCGACAGAGCCAATGCCAGCTGGCTGCAGGACGGACCCACCACTGGCCAAGGCCAAGCCCATCAGTGATGGTGGTAGGGCCTCCAGGAGAACAGATTTAAGAAGGGGGAAAAAAACCCACCAAACCCCCAAAACTGCAGAAGAACAACAGTAGCTGGAGAGAGGAGTGAGAATATGTGAGAGAACAACCCTGCAGACCCCCAGGTCAGTGAAGGAGGAGGGGAGGAGATGCTCCAGGCGCAGGAGCAGAGATTCCCCTGCAGCCCATGGGGAAGACCATGGTGAGGCAGGCTGTCCCCCTGCAGCCCAGGGAGGTCCACGGTGGAGCAGATCTCCACCTGCAGCCCGGGAAGAGAGACCCCATGCCGGAGCAGGGCGATGCCTGAAGGAGGCTGTGACCCCGTGGGAAGCCCATGCTGGAGCAGTTCATAAAGAACTGCAGCCTGTGGGAAGGACTCATGTTGGAGAAGTTCGTGAAGGACTGTCTCCCGTGGGAGGGACCCCACACCGGAGCAGGGGACGAGTGTGGAGTCCTGCCCCTGAGGAGGAAGGAGCAGCAGAGACAAGGTGTGATGAACTGACCCCAACCCCCATTCCCCGTCCCCCTGCACCGCTGGGGGAAGGAGGTGGAGAGTTTGGGAGTCTAGTTGAGCCCAGGAAGAAGGGAGGGGTGGAGGGAAGGTGTTTTGAGATTTGGTTTTATTTCTCATTATCCTACTCTGATTTGATAGGTAATAAATTAAACTAATCTCCCCAAGTCGAGTAATTGGTGAGTGATCTCTCCCTGTCCTTATCTCGAACCATGAGCCTTCCATTCTATTTTCTCTCCCCTGTCCAGCTGAGGAGGAGAGTGACAGAGCAGCAGCTTGGTGGGCACCTGGCATCCAGCCAGGGTCAACCCATCACACCCTCAAACCAGCAAAGATATCCTTCTGTAGAAAGGAAATCCTGCACTAGTTGGTTATTTCTGCACGTGTTGCAATAAGGAGTCATGCATACATCATTCTTCTCATTTTCTCATGTTATTTCTCCTGCAATAACATCTACTAAGTCAACAGATTTTCCAAACAATGCAATGGAGCTGTTTCTGCAGGTATAGTTTTAAAGTCTTACCAATAATTACATATTCATCCTCTGAGTCACTGTGGCAACGAAATCTAGTAATCTCATGACGTGATGGTAGATGCACTGGGGAGCTGACAGGCAGCAAAGCACAGCCTGTCCAGAACAAAGGCAACACCAGTTAAACATTTCCAGCATTTATAGAGTAGCTGCAGTTATATTTGTATTTGTCTTCGCTTACCAAAACTTTAGAACACAGGCTGTATTTATAGAGCAATTTTATTTATTTATTTATTTTTATACACACACAGAAAGCCAATTCTTGGAAGACTGTCATACAGCATGTCCCTCAGTTTCTTAGGAAGAAGCTTCTAGAGACTAAACCAAAAGCTTTTATATTATCAGTGGTCTCTCCACTTCTCACATGCAAGCACACCATTCATTCTTCCACAGAAGTTACATCGTTTAGACTTAAGTTCTATCACCAAGATCAATATTAATCAAGAGACTAAAATCTACTTTAAAATGCATGGGCTGACTCAAGCATTATAGTGCCAGGAGCGTTTATTTGCTTGCCTGAAACTATATGTGAATGAATACTCTGGTCAGTTTCACTGAAATCAGTTGTGTGGCCTGATCTGCATAGTGCAGAAGTAAGCACTGAAGGACAGAGCCAAGCTTCAAATCCTGCAAAAAAGGATTTAAGCAGAGAGAAAACCAGCCAACTACAGGCACAATCTATGGAGAGTTGTGCTTGGCATGTGGCGCTTCAACCTTACATTTTCTTTTTCATGTAAAAAAAAAAAATCAATTATAATAAATAAAACACAGATGTGAGCATTCAAAAGGAAGAATTTGACCCACAGGGAAAATACTTGTGGCATAATGATCCTGAGGGAACACAGCTCCCAAGAGACCAAAGAAGGTAACAGAGGATTTGGTTCCAAGCAATGCCCGAATTCATTTAGTATTTTCTTGTGCAAAAATAAATGGCAAAGGCTGTCAGACAAGGTTGCATTATAGACTAAGTAACTTGCCTTCGTAACCACTGTCTGACGAGGCAACAGAAGAATCAGACTTCTTCACTCCAGGGTAAGAAGATAACTCTGAATCAGTGTGATAGCTGCCATCTGATCCATTTGTTTCCTCCGCGCCCCAGGACTCTGTTTGTTGGCTTAGGATATTACATTTCATTTTTTCTAAGGATGCTATAATCATATCTGCGACAAAAAAGTGCGCGTTTTCCTGGACACAAGATTAGAATACTCATTAGTACACAGCATATTTTATACTTCCTTAAGATGAAGTTAAATATATAATTTTTCCCTGTACATTTTCAACTCAAGAAATGAAAATGCAAGGCCATCTCACCTTTCATTTAAACACAAAAAACCCCTACCCCAAAGGAAATTCAGAGACAACATGCAAAAGGCAACTGCCCAGATAATTCTCGCCCTTGATTAAAACATACAGTTTACTTTTATCTTACCCATCTATTAGATAAAAAGAAACTTGATTACATGCCTAATTGATGAATATGTATGCATTTTAGGGACATAGTCTTCTAGTTACACTATATTATTTAGTATGCAAGCATGAATCCATGTAACCTATTTAGTAGGATTTAATTTCAAGTCAGTGTGTACAAGCAGTTTTGCACGCATGCTAACTTGGATGGGGTCAGAAGTGGAAAGTTTTGAAGGGACTATAGATCTTCAGGTGGTGGGTAGCACAGAAGCTAGTAAAATGCTTTCAGGTGTTAAGAGTTAAGGCAGTGAAGTAGGGAATGTGCAGTGAGAGAGCTTACAAGGTCAACTCAAGGCTGCATAGAAAGTCTGTGATAATGGTAAGTGGGAACCTAGCTCCCCTGGGGTTCACACCACCTTAAATAAAAGGTAGATGTTTCAAAGCTTCACGGTAGCATTTCCCTGCCAGACAACCCCTCCCCATGGTGTCCCTTACCATCTTTCCTGCCCAGGTCCCCCGTTCTCTGGGAAAAGGGAATTTGTAAAGTCACCTCCAGCACCACTGAGACATCCAGTCTCTTCAATGTCACTGCTGCATCCCTTGCTCCCTGTGGTCTAACAGAGCATCCCACCAGCCCCACTTGTGCTACAGCTGCTGGCCTGGGCACAGCTTCCCAGCCCAGGCTCAGCTCAAAAGTAGATGCATCATGGAGAGACACATGCACTCACATGCACAGATGGAAACCCAGAGATGCCCAGGATACTCTCCCCCTCTCCCCTCAACTGCACGCATTTGCATTGTGCAAAGCTAAACCTCCATCTAAAAAACCACGGCAGTATCTAAGGCTAGAGATTCTGAGTGCAGAATAATTAAAGCTTTATAAAAGTGGCTTATGCTCAGAAAATTGTACCGCTCGGTGTCAGTATTTGTGATATCCCCTACAGCCTGTATGGAAAGCATGGAGACAGACATCAGTGTTTACAAATAGCTAAATCTTAAGGACCACAACAGACATCACTGCTTTCTTATTCTCCACAGCCAAATACATTTAGAAGAGATTAATCTCAACATTAGAGAAAGCCCACAAGTCCCTGTGGGTGTTTGAAGAGACTTTTATCTTTTCCCTAACACTGATTAACATCACTTAGCTTGGTGCCCAGTTTCTCCCAAGACAACTTTCAGTGAACTTCAGGACACGCCATTAGCAGAGGAAAGAATTAAACAGCCTTTTGCCTTTTGGGAAATAAAGACGACATCTCCTACTTTGAAGATTCAAAAAGACTGCATGGCACTGGTTAGCCCCACGTTACTGGCAGAGCACAGCATATCGGCACGTCCTGCTGATAAAAGCGATTATGAGTGTACTTGGGAGAGCTGCGCTGCAAAAAGATGGAACAGGATACAGGCATTCTTGTACTCAGCATGACTATCAGTTTTCAGCTCTGCCTCCTGATAAGTCTGTTACCCTAGGAAGCAGTCCCAACTCAGCTGTGACACACCAACCTTCTCACTTCTCTTCCCTCCCACTCGCATCAGTGGAAAGTCCCTCTAGATTTTCTGGCCCATCTCCTTCCTGGCACACGACTACAACGCTCAGAGTTCCTGACACTACATGTAACTTAGTTTTCAGTCTCCTAAATTTCAAAGACATTATTTCACAACCTAAAAGTGTTTTGGGTTTTGGTTTGTTGGGGTTTTTTTGTTTGGTTTGGTTTTTTTTAAAGGCAGCTTCACTCCTAATGGACTGAGCTCTTGATATCTTTTAACCTCTGATCACATCAGCCCCAATCACCTGCAAAGAAGAAGTAGCTGATGCGATCTTGCCTCACTCAGTAGTTTTCACACTGTGGTTTCTAATCCAGACATATACTCACTGGTCTCCTGGTGACTGAAAGCAAATTACTTTGGTTTTGGTTCCCCATATTACAGATGGAGAAACATCCTCTCCTTTCACAAAAAGCAACATGAAAAGCTAGTTAACTGAGTTTGTTGGGTTTTGGTGTGTGATTTATTGGGTATTTGGGGGGGGGGGGGGGGTTTGCTTGTTTGTTTTTTAAATGCACCTTAGGGACAGTGAGAGCTTCAAATCAAAAGCAGAACTTGCCACTCCAGTAAAACCAGTGCTGTGCACAAAGATGACTACCTCTTGGGCCCAGGAGGCAGGACCACATGCACATCCACAGTCCAGCAAAAAAATCTCCTTTTCTAGGCACATTTTTAAAGCTCTTTTGTTTTAAATCCTACTCATTGCGATAACCAATTATAACATTAACCCTTCTTTTCCAATTGTTAGAAAAGATTTAACATTTAGCACACTGAGTTACGTGTGACAGCGTTATCTTCTCATCTTTATCTCTGTTTATAAGCTCAAATGGGCTGCCTATGTGTCAACACACCTAAGACCATTTGGGCCCCTTATGCAAATTCAAAAGCCATGCGAAACTGCTTAAATTACCGCAAATGTTACAGTTACTGTGCTTGTTAATCACACTGTAATTCTTTTACAGCAATCTCACATGCTCATCATAACCACACACAAAAAAAGCCAACCTCTCCATATCTCCTCATAGAAAAAGCATGAGGTAAATGTCATACATATGCATGTAGCTGCAACAAATTCTACAAAACATATCCTAACATAACTTTAAACTGACTACAATAATCTTAAAGTTTGGTCTCAAGGAATGTGTGTGAAAAACATAGAATGAAAAGCAGAAATATACAGTGCTCTAAAATATTTCCATTCTTTTAAAATAATTAAAATATTTAATGAATGGATTAAGAGTAAAAATAAAGGAAGAAATAGGCATTTTAGGTCTGTAGGTTCACCCACAGAGGGGAAGAAGAGGGGAAAATACAGTATTTGTAAAGACTAGTCTATCAGAGAGTTCTGTTATTGAGAAATGCCTCCTGTCATTTGGTTTTGCCACTATAAAATAGAAAAAACAACGACAGGAATCTTTATTGTCCTCACCTTCTCCACATCTTCTGGAAGCATGCAGATGTCTTGCAACGAACGATTCAACGGTATAGCACTTATGTTCAGAGAAGTAGAACCTGTGGCTATAACAAGAACTTTTATTAGTTACTTCTTTCTCTGCAGCTCCCAGGATGCGTGCAGGGTAATTTTCAGAAAGCAAAGCAAACTTTCTTTCCCCAAACTGAACACTGTTGGGGCTGGAGGTTGTGGTGGAAGTCAAGAAGAAAGAGAGAGAAATGCGAGGAACACGTTGGCATTTGAACTACCCTGGCAACCTGAAGCATGAGTAACAACTACCAGGGAAACACAGTTTAAATGCCGTGGGTGACAGCACCGCTGTGCTCCCAACACCAGCCCTCTCCCAGCTACGGCCTGAGCTGCTGGGCACAACCACAGCCAGAACCTCGGGCTGGGATTACAGTAACGCTCTGCAGTTTGCAACACAGCCAGCTAACGCTGCTTTTCTGCTCATTCACAATAGCTGGAAGAAAAAGAAATCTCACTGCTGTCTGGGCATGCAGAGAGATGCATCAGCCTTAAGATTCCCTGAATCACTGCTGGCATTGTGTGACTACAGCAAGTTTGGAAAACACTTTGCTGTTATGTTTCCATACCTCGAGGAAATCTCCCTCCTGTTTCCAAATGCAACCCCTACTGCATGGTAATATACGTGCAACTGGGGCAGACGCATTAGCCACTGTACTCCCTGCTTCCCAGAATAGCAGTTTTGTTTTCCTGGCATTTGCTGCCGAGTATAGTGAGCACGTGAAACAAAATTCATCTCTTTTTCCGGTTAAGATCTTTCACTATGCAGCAGAGCACACATCTGGTTTTCTCTAGATGTACCATGGATTGCTTTTTATATATAAGTATGTATATATAGTCACAATCTTCTTCCCCAGAGAACTGAAGGTGTGAGATCAAGCCCTCATGTTTTGTTTTCAAAGCACTCACAACCACTGCTACAAGAAATTTACTGGAAGGATGACAAAGATTATATATAATGTCTATGGATGTACACACTAATGAGACATGAAAGGAAATGACTCCTGTTTGTTGGTTTTCTGTTTGCATTTTTTTGTTTGTTTGTTTGGGCTTTTTTCGGTTTTGTTTTTTTGTTTGGGTTTTTTTTGTGAGGTTGTTTTTTGGGGTTTTTTTTGGGGGGGTGGTGTTTGTTTGTTTGTTTTAACACTGACTGGTGTTTATTACTTCTTCTTTGACCTTATAACCAAACAATTTCTGTTTCACTGTGGTGATGTTTACAGGATAAAATAGATCGTATCTAAATGCTACCACCACACATGCCATTTAAAGCCGTTGCAGATAACACGGCTTAATCAAAGGCTTTTTGTAAAACAAAAACAGAAAAACACTCCTACATTTATTTAAGTCACAGAAAGGACAAAGAGGTCCCACAAAATATGAGAATAATTTACGAAAAGTTTTTCTCCAACTAAAGGGCACTCTCAGGCCTAGTTTAGATTCTTTATATTGCCTTATTTATAGAAACCATGTTACACTGCCCAGAGCATCAGTGACATCAGGCTGGAAAGGCAATACTGTGCTCCAGCGTAGCAACATGGACATAGTGTTTTTTACATAATTATTAATACCTCCACTGTGTATACCATGGAGGAACAATGGAAAAGCTGATGATCTGACTTTTCAAAACAGATTTAATCACCCAATTAGGTTATTTTAATGCCTATTTTATGATTCATCTCACTGGATAAGCAGTGTATGGGGAGTACAGGGAAGTGCTAAAGACTCTACAGCTTGATAAAGCCTACATTCTCATCAGTTAAGATAACAAACATTACTCTATGAACTAAAAATAATAAACAGAAATAAGGAAATGGGAAAACTATTCCTTCCTCTTTAAAATACAAGATGCAATTCATCTTAAATATCAATTTGAAATCTAATGGGAGCTTTCTCTTTTGCTTACCTCTTGCATCTTTAAGTGAAAAGAACGTAAAGTCAGAAGGAGCACAGGGAAGGAGCCCAGCGCATCCAGCAATGGGACGCAACTTTGGGTCTGATGCAAAAAATAATCTGGTTGCCCTTCTGCTCCTGAGCAGTGTTGCCTGGAGGCTGCTGGGGCTGGGGAATGAGCCCTCAAGAGCCACAGAAGGAAGTGACCTTGACGCACACAGAGGTTAGAAGCAAGAACAAGCCCTGTGAACTGCCAGTGACGCACCAACCACAACAGAGCCCCCAGACAACACCAAGTTCAGTCACAGGCTCTTCATTAACAGTGATGGAGCCTTTTCAGAAAGAAGGTTGCATGAGGCCACCAGAGAATCGCCCTTAAACGTATGAACAAGACCTAACAGGAGTCTCAGAGGACCAGGAGAAAATCCCGCTGAAAAAAATTATTTATGCTGATTTAAGTCATCTTCTGTCATTTTCTTATGTCCTCTGCATCCCTCGCCAATTCTCCTACGAGAAACAAAAGTGAGAAACCACCATCTCTGAGACAGCAATGGAAAGGATGGCAAGTCAGGAGATGCTCTTGTGCAATTCCTGCCTTCAAATCAGGCATTTTATTTCTTCTTTTTCAGTTTGCCATTTGCTTTTCCCGTGCTCGTGCTCAAAGTCCCACACAATGCAGGGGAGAATGCGACCTCACTGCCCTCACCCCAGGCTACCCAGTGTTGAGTTAAATGGCTGGAAGCAACAAGGAACGATGAAATACAGAAATTTTCACTTTATACAGAACAAAGTGTAACGCAGACAGAGCCCACCACGTTGCACAGTGTCTAACAGGATCCTGGCTCCTGTGAGGAGTATTTGTTAGTAAAATCAAGGATGCTACTTCTTCAGTCACCTGGCAACCATATTCCTTCATTTGCTTTCTGGAGAGCCAGCAGCATTACTGACCCAACGCAAGCTTGTGACATGTCCTTCTCGTGCCAGAAGATCGAGTCACGCATGATTGATCTGTTCTTACACACGTGCCTCACAGTCCCTGCTGACACCAAGAGCCTGGGCCATGTTTTCCAGACCCAGATACCCAAACCTGCATGACTGGCCCCAGCTGGCTCCAACCACCCTGATGGGCACCTCTCAGCTACACCGGGCCAACAAAACACCCAGTAGAAGGAAACCACCATAATTGTCACCATATTAACTGATGACGACAGCCTATCCCAGTTGACAAAGTTGTTATTATTAAGAGCTCCCAGTCCTCCAAATGGCATGTGCCTATTTGAGATCCTGCTGCCAGCTTGAGGCCTTGGAGGAGCTCCGAGTTAATAGCTAGGAAGGACCAGAGCTTGGCAGGAGCGTCACCACTATGACTAGTATTGACCAAAGGAAAAAAAAAAAAAAAAAAAAAAAAAAAAAAGCCAAACCCACACAAAACCACAAACAACCCAGCCTCTGCCATTTTTATTTATAATACAAAGGCAGGCTGAGTGCTCCCTGCTGTTTGCTTTCTTTCCAGCAGAAAGTCAGGCCTCAGCTGCACCACCTTTCCGAGGCTCAGCACCTAGTAAGAATAAGCCCTCAGATACCGGTAACACCTTTTATAAATAAAATAGAAATTCTTCATCTTGCTGTAGCGAAGACTGTTCATATCAACCTCAGGTATTAAACACGAGGGGATTGTTTTGCTGTCCTAGCCAAGGGGCAGCCCAGGAAGGCCAGTGGGCCTCATGGAGGCACATGCAGCCCCAAGGCCAAGCTGGCTTGCTCCACCGGCCGTCTTGAGGACACAGCTCCTCGCCTATGGGCCTGCGCTGCCCTGAGCCCCCTGCCAATGCAGGAACAGAAGGCACCCTTTGCTAGGAACCCTCGGTCTGCGTCTCCTCACAGCCAACATGCAGGATATCCATATGGTCAGAAACTGGCGAGGGGTAAAAAGATCCTGATCTGTATCGGATGGGGCTGTGTGTCTCTGAGACGGTGGGAAGAGGTCTGGCACAAGCCAATTTAGGCCTAATGAGAACGGATGTTAATGCCCTGCCTCCGAAATGCCAGAATCAAAGGACTCCCTCTCCTCCAGCTCACGTCAAACACAAGGAGATGTCCCAGGGAGCCTGCACACACCAATGAATCACGACCAAACGGCCACATCCATGCTGTCTGCTTTCAGAAGGAGGATAACGGTGAAGACAAGATGAAGTTGGTGGAAGCCTCTGCCAGTGGATGTTCTACATTGCTCACAGCTCAGCGATTTTTATGTTTTACCAAAGGTTGCATGTTACAGAAGCATTTCTGCATCATGAAACAGACACCTACTGCAAACACAAGTGTCTCCTGTTTCACCAAGTCCAACCCTCTGGCTCTTCTTCGTTTTTAAGCTTTCTCTTTCTCCCCTCTCTCCTATTTTGTACGATAACATTTGTCTAATTTGCAATCACCATAAACAAGGCCCATTTCAATTACAGTTGTCTTTCCTAGCACAGAAATCTTAAAACAAAAATGGACCTGTAAAGTTACCTGTTTGATTGACTGGCTCTGACTGGGAAAGTCCACTGGGAGAATTGCTGTCACTGTTGCTGATGGGCAAAGGCTCCAAAGCGTCAGGGTATTTCAACAGATCTGCTGGCTTACCAACAGCTGAATCGGAAAGAAACCTTGTGAAAGTCAAGTCTTGTTCAGGGGAGGTATAATGTTCTTTTCCAGAATGCACGACAGCTGATGTGACAGTGCCTCCTGTTAATGTCACCTGGGTAAAGCAATCCCGCTTCAGAGGGGACACGTCTGCAAGAGTGAAACCATTCAAGGAGGAAGCAGCACGATCCCCATCAGAGTAACGGGGACAAAAGAAAGTATCCAGCGAAGGTTTAGAGGAATCATAGTGCGTGTTGTCCCAACATGCCCGGTGCCTTGTAAACCGAATGTCCGTTTGTGTACAAGCAGCACTGTGATGTGCAGAATCGCTGTCACTGTCATCACGGCTATCCCCAGCGCTGCTTTCTTCCCACTGTTCCATGTCACTGTCCAGATGCTCAGCTCCCTGCATTGTGGTCTGCTCCTGCACCAAAGAGGGCTTCAAACCAGATGCATTTAAAACAGACATGAGAATGTCTTTGATAGCTTCAGCACTGTCTGGGTATGATCCAAAACTTCCAGCATGTCCGATCACTGCTGGCCTTGAGTATTCGTCTGTTCAGAAAAGGGAAGAAACCGAGAATTTAGGAAACAATCCTAAGAAAAGGTTAATTTACAACCGTGAATAAAACACACATTATTTTTGACATAGTAAGAAGACAGGAAAGAGCTGAATTCACACACCACTCTCTTCTGCCACTTTCTGCAAGAAAGCTCTTGCTCTCTCCAGTCAGGAAGCAATTCTGTCATTGATAAAGCTAGGTAATAAACCAACAGTAAAGTATGCTGCTGCTAGCCAAACACAACCAGTTAAGACTTTAATGGTGACCAATTGTCAGCATGCTCAAAAACATCATTGTTCTACAAAACTGGATGAGGTACAGTTAGCTGTACAGGTACTGGTTCTATTGCCAGTAAAAGGTCACATTATAGCAAGACATATGGAGGATCAATAGAGCAGGAAGAAAAAAAAAAAGGATACACTTAGTAATAAAAGGTCACATGCTTGAGCGTTTCAGTTCAGTCAGACACTCCTTATGTGGAAAAGGCTAAAGTAACCTTCAGTCAGTTATTCACAGAGGTGGCAACATTTACGTGAACCCATAAAGAAAATTAGCTCTGTCACAGTGAGTTCATTGTAACGTCTCTGAAGGAATCAAAAGTACTGCCTGCCAACATCCTAGGTGATCTACTGCAAAACTTAGTTCAACAGAAAATGGAAAACTGCTTTTAGCAGCAAACATGGCAACATTAGCCTGATGCAGAAGTGCACACTCCCACCAGTAGCTATTCAAGAATAAACTGAAGTCCTATACCTTGAACAAAAAGCCTTGCAGGAACTGCCACCACCCAAGCAATGGAGAGATTAGACAAAGTCTACGTTCAAGAAGAAACTACCAACCACATCACAACAATGAAGTTAACAACTGTCTCCTTTGGGGAAGATAAGTGGGTTGTAAAATTCTAAGAATAGATACAATCAGGAAGATCCGTTTCCAGGGCAAAGAACTCTTAGTTAGGACCACAAGGAATGTTAAACACCGCTGGTGAAAAAAGCAGCAAGTCTTGCAGGCTGCAGACTTTGCCCAGAGGTTGCTTTCCTTGGACATATATCAATGGAAAACAGTAAACCTCTCCACGAGTCACTCACCTGGAAGCCAGCATGCACTCAAACTGCATGATAAGAAAGTTTACTAATGAAGGGATCAAAAGCGAAACAAACACCCCTACGTACTTTGGAAAAGCAAGTCTATATGAAGAGCAGTCCTCATCAAGAGAAAGCTGAAAAAATTATTAAGAACCTCACGTGTAAGCTATACCACAAGAACTGCTAGCAATGCCACCCTAGTAAAGCCAGGTCAAAATTAGCTAAGGAGTTCATCAGCGATTGGGACCAGCCACCTGCCACTTATCAGGACAAAGGTCTTGCAGAAATAGCAGCAAAACTGCACATTTTACTGGCTACAATTGCAAAGAAACACCTTGCCAACATAGCCAGCCATGGCAGCATAAGGGCAGAAATGGGAAAATAAAAGCTAGCTGACATTCAAACAAACATATTTAAATCTTTTCAGGAAAAGAAAGCAATTTTGGTAACTATTGACATTTCAGTTGCACAGGAATACCTTAACCTGGGCTGCAAACAGCATCTTTTCTGTGCAAATATTTAGTCTTACTGTCTTCAACTCTTCTGCTCTGCTCTCCTATTGCAAAACCCATCCCTGCAGCCTTTCCATCCCTCTCATCCTTTGTCATCTCCACAGCATCATGGAGCATCTCTAGCACTAATCATACAACCATTACTTACTCTGCTAAATACTTGTTCTTAATGGATTGTAAGAAAAAAAAGAACAAGTTCTAAGAATTCAACTCATGGTTCTGCTCTGCCAAGCTTAAGAAAAGAAAAAAAAAAAACAAACGAACCAAACCCCACATTTTAAGCTACTACCAGAATAGGTTAGTTCCAATAAGAAAAAAATCTCAAGCCCAGTTTTGCAACTAATACTCATGTGAGTAATTATGGTAATCTGTTAAAATCTGAAAAGCTACTTCTTGAATGAACAAGGAGTTAACCTGCCAAGAATCATCTGAACGGTTCAAGTATTTTACTCGAGCACTCAAAATGACACCGTAACTAAAATGGCCAAACTACCATTTAAAAGGCAAACAAACCCCATACTTTCAAACCGTGCAATATACTTCGATGTTGTCCCATCTTCAAAGCCAATAAGCAAGGTTCCCTCTCCAGCCAGACTATACTTTAGTGCACACAAATACTGATAGCTTTTGCTAGCACTACAGGCATCAGCAAAGCTCCCCAGAGGGAGGCATTTTAGAACAAATTGGCATACCTGAGAGAACGGAGATTTGAGGTGTCGGAGCTAGGCAGCTAATCCTCGCCGAGGGATTTGAAGAATACGCTGACTCATTGAAAGCCACCTTTAGGCTTTCGTGGTTTAGCTAGAACAAGAACACACAGGCAGACAATTTGGTTATAAGACAACAGTACTCTGGTAATGATACCTCCAGTCTCACAGACATCCCAGGAGGAAGAACACCGTGCTAAGGCCTGCCGACAGTCACCTAACCACTGCCTGTATTTCTGGTTGTCTGAAAATCGCCCCAGAAGCACGCACCACCTGAAGAGCACTGGCATCTCAACTCTGCATCTCGCATTTCACTCCAGAAGGCACGTGACCAAAAGAAACTCTCCACGGTAGGAGGTAGGAATATTAAATGTGTATGAGGCATATGCGAGATAAAATGCTGAATCAGATGTCTATGTATCTGTCAAAACAACAGCAATGAAGTGGAAAAGAACTCAAGGAACCACCAATCTGTAGCTGGAAGCACAGGCCTGTTTAGATGCATACAAGCTACAAGGTAAAGCTACGGGGCTCCGACTCCACAAGCACCTGATGCATGTGCTGCTTGATCTTCCAGCTGTATCGACTGGGAGCAAGCGTGGTCACATAATCACGTCTGCCTAATTTGATAGAACATAGTACCTGTGGTTCAACGTCAGTGATCTGGCTGACCCAGCATAAAGTGAGAAGTGACACAAATAGATAATACTTGACCTGGCATACAGCCTGCCAGTATAAGCTGACAAGAATTTTGAATGCATTTCAACTGACTAGGCAGGCTTATACCAGATCAGCGTTTCGCTTTGTGTGGTCATGACGCTTCCGATTCGATATTTCTAAACCCAAAGCCGGATTTACCATATTGTCAAACCAGCATAAGCTCAGCCAGGGCAAGCAGTTTAGCGCAGACACCCAGGGGCTAATTTCAACGAGGGAGTAAGATACACCCAGGACAGCAAAGCAACAGGTCTCCTCCCCAAGCTCACAAATTCCTTGCAAGGGTCATACATTTGTCTCCCACTCTCTCTCCAGTGCCCCAAGTTTGTCATGGACCTGCAGAGCACATCACAGAAACCAGGGAAATCAAAGGGGTGCCATGCTCCGATGGGCACATCATTAAAAGGCACTTAACCAAGGCGTACCTCGTGCCTTCTCCCCACTCACAGACATCGGTGAGATGTCTCCACACAGAAGCATCCCCAGGATGCCTCTGGCCCTCTCCTGCACCCTGTGATCCCATACAAAGAGAAGGGAGTTAAAAGGTGTGCTGTCCTCTGCCACCCTGTGTGGACCTCTACATTCCCCATGTGGTCCGGTCGGAGAGCGAGATGACTCAGAGCAGATCTAGTCCAGATACCCTTCAGGCTGACGGAAAGCAGAAGAAATTAAAACCCACAAAGAATTTCCCTTTTAACTGAAGAATAACATTTCAGGCCAAAAATAGTATGCTGAATTTCAAATATTTAGTGTTTGATTATGCCAGTGCTTAGAAAAACACTCCTTACAGTGTCTGTGATAGTGCTTTCTTTTTTTTCCCCTCTGCACTAATTTAGAGAACCCGTCATGTAGGCAGGCTTTGTACATATAAATATCATATTGTCAATGTGACTGGATAAAGTAGTTCTTACAGGAACTCATTTTTTATTACTTACTTTTATTTTCTAAAAAATTGTTTTTAATATCAGCAGTTAAGAGATTCTATCTGTTAGGATGCAAGCATCACAACTGCCTGACACCAGGGTGAATGCAAGTACTTTATCTGTAAGCGTTAATACGAAGCGTGCTAAGTTTTAAGATTTTGGCTTTTTTAAGCAACCCTCCCATCTCTTAGATCTTATCAGAAGCAACCCACGTTCTGAGAATTCAGATAAAATATTTCCATTTACTTTCAAGATGTTATGATTTCAACTGTATCGGATTAAGAAAGAGCTCCTTTAGTATTTAACTATTAAACTACAAAAACCAAAACGAACCCAAAAAGCAATTAAAGAGCACTTACAAGGAAATATGACAAGAGGTGCATGAAAAGTACCACAACACTCTGCCATAACCAGTAAAAACCACTGACAATTTGACATCTTTTATAGGATGAGACAGCTTTTCCCTGCTCGGTATTGGGACTATATTTCCAAAAATAACTCTGTAACGAAACCGCCAGCATTTAAAAATATTTACCACAACCACGGACAACTAAAAGCTATTTTTTTTGGAAAAAAAGTGCCCCCAGCTAAGGAAACCCCTGACCCAAGGTCGAGATGCCTTCCTCGCCTCACCTTTTTGGAGCAGGGCTGCTTGAAGACTTCTGTCCTGCTGTAGCTGGCGAGAGCTACTGCACGGAGAGACATGATGGGAAAACATGCATTTTTTTGTTGTTGTTAAGTACCTGGAAGCAACAGGGAAAGGATTACAGTCGCGACCACGTTAACCGCGATTCTCCATGTGTTTCACAGACCCTACATTTAATTTTCCGAGCTGTTTCCCGTCTTGACTTTGCGTGCTTACCGAGAAGCAGAGCGCGGCAACACTGGAAACCTGTTAGAAACAGCCTAATTTAGGATTATTTAAAAAAAACCCACAACGGGAATGCCTACCACAGCCATAAGAGGATCGCACCGGTCCGGCGTGCCCCGCCGTTTGCTGTGAGAGGAGGAAGAGACGAAGCCCCGGTGCTCCGGCCCCGGGAAAGGCACCGGCCACGAATAAAACCCGGCACGGCGCTGGAAAGCCGCGTAGCCCTTCACACGCAAGCGTTTAATACGGAGGGGAAAAAAACAAAACAAAACAAAAAAAAGGGGAAAAAAAAAAAGGGAAAAAAAAAAAAAGGCAGCGCCTTGCGAGACACCGGCCTCCCCCGCAGCCCCACCTGTCAACCGCGGCTCCTGGCTCCTCCGGTTCGGCGAACAACGCTCG